CCATTGATTATTTTTGCATTTGTAATATCTGTCGCATTCTTTATCATTGGATTTGTATGAACCTTCCTTACAAACTTTAAGATTGTAGTTTGGGCATTGTGCTTTTTCAGGCGTTGTACAAACTTTTCTCATTTGATCCCAATGTAATCCATTTTCACATTCCTTCAAGACCAATTGTTTATTTATACATTTGTAATATATATTGCATTTACTGTCGTGAGACTCTGTAGTATCTTCTTCACACACGTAAGATTGATAATTATTATTTAATTTCGTTGGTAATTCTCTCAGCTTGTTTGCTTCTACGTCTACTACTGCTAAGGTGATTGCAAATATTGCAACCCAACTAAAATTTCCTAAAAATGAATGAATGACGATTATAATGAACAATTAATAAATAATTCCTTAACTCTTTTCAATAGATTTTAACGGAATTTTTATTATCTCGCGCAACAATTAATTAGTATTGTTCTCTTATCGAACTATTACTCAATACACCTTGATATACAAGATATATAAGATTATTGTAATTATTAACTGGTTATGTAATTATATTGATATTCTAGAGATAGGCATACTAAGTTCGTTTAAAAATTTGTTGTAAATGTTGTTATTAGACATTTTTTTATTTTTCTTTTTTTTTTTTTTTTTTTGATAAGGATAATACACGCTAATATGTGTTAAACGATTAAAAAATGTTTTAAGTATTCTATAATCTATAAAATCTTTTAAGTTATTCGACAATTGAATTGGATTAATAATAATCAAGTAGGTCTTATTATTTAATAATAATGTTACCTCTAATATATTCGTATAAAAAAAATAATATTAAGTAAAATATTTTGACGACAAATATCTAACGATACGTTGATTTACCTTTCATCTCGAAACGTATTTACCAGTATACTTTTAAATAGTATCTTATTAAACAGTATATCTCTACTTTGCACTTCAAAATTTTATAACTAACAAAAGAGATTTTGAAGCACCCTCTTTTATAGTCGTGCACAATTTTATCATTTGATCAACTCGTCAGTTATCTCGTTAATATCTTAATAAGAAAGAAATATATTTGTTAGTCTTGTCCTCAAATCATTTTTTATCTTATTAATTTGTTCGTACAATTTTGGCGATCGTATTTTCTTTCATACAAAAAAAATATCTTTCATATTATCATTGATTTAGGTATTTATATTAAATTAGTAATAAAGACACGTAACCATCGGGTAACAAGATAACAGAATGTTATTTATTTCCGACATTATCACCAATAACTTTATATAAGTGGCATATCAATCAATGATCGAATATTTGAAACATCTTATAATTTATTAATTAATCGTTTTCAATTAATTACCTTTGCAATAAATGTTTATTAATAAATATATACATTTAATTTTTTACAACTAATGTTAATTATATACAATAAATGTAGTAAACTGTAGAAATAATATAAGATCGATAAGACATTCTTATCTTGAGATTAAAATCATCTTAGGAAGTGCATGTTGACAATATAAAAAACTATAATAACACGTATAATACGATTATAATTTTAATGTATACATAAAACAAGCCTTATATGGATATTTATATTGTATATTTAACAATTAATAACTCGATAAATATATTAAAATTTTTCTTAAATTTGCACTATTTTCATAATGAATTATTTTCAATGTTACATTGATAATAATCAACTTGATTACATATATTCCCAGGAAGCTAAGATATAATCTCTACATCGGTGATAAGACAAAAAAATTCCAAATAAAGACATTCTTTAACTTATAACTTAATAAAGCGAACAAATATATAATAGCAAAATAAATAATATCATTTTTTCAGATATTCAAATCAAATTGTTACAGTTCGAGTCAATAATAATGAAAACTGCATTACCATTCGAGTCGATAATGACGAAAACTGCATTATCGTTCGAGTCGATACTGATGGAAACTGTATTATCGTTCGAGTCGATACTGATGGAAACTGTATTATCGATCGATCGAACTTTGAAATTACCGACATCGATTCGATACAAGTTTCCGTGGTCCTAAGTTGGATGTCGCTAGTTTCGTATGAGAGTATGGTAAAAATAACGATCCAATAGGAAACGTGTAAACAATGGTTAAAGTTGTTAGGATTGGCGGTACTGTCGCCAAGTCGAGTAACGTTAACGAATCAGAGTGTTCGGTTTAGCGGTACGATGAGAAAATGTTCTGGGTATCTCGGCCGTAATGTAAAATCCCCTCTCTCCGTGTGTCCCCTTTGGAACAACACGTCTTGGATCCCGCTAACCCCCACATAAGCATTGGTGGTAAAGAGAAAAAGGTGCGCGAGCATCGTTCGGTAGACTCAGCCAGCCATTTCTCTCGTTAAGCGTAGCAACGCGCAAGAGAAAGAGGCTCGTCGGTTAAAAGGTGTAATTGTTTTTTATTTAAACGTATTAAGGTGCGGGTTAACCCGGAAATTTTGCAAAATAACGCGACGCAAAAGGATGATACACTCCGGGCGAACGAGGCTCGAGGTAAGTCGACAATTCGGACTGTCTTCATCGTCGTTGTTGTTAGATAGTTATATTCCGTACTATCTTCGAAAGTTAAAACGGCGCGTCGAAGCTGTGTGTGGTGATAACACGGGGGGGTTACTCTTCGTCGTGTGCGTGTGCAATGTTGTCATTGCCGTGGCGAACAGCTGATTCGCTCCGCTGGCCTTCGCTAAGCGCGACGACAGGCATCTCTGTCATATCCTAACAAAGTATATATTATCCTGTCTCTCTTTTTTAAACTCGAATCGTTGTGTTGTTGTTGTTGTTGTTATTGTTTGGTTGTTGGTTTGTTGTGTGTTGCTACGACCACAAAGAAAGAAAGAGACAACCTAACAAATATATACGATAGGATACGATTATACGGGCCGGAACGGGACGTGACGCGACGTGACGAGACGAGGAAAGAACGGAGGGACGAAGGAGGAGAACAGACAAAAAAATACACAAGAAAAATACTACAAAGAAAGAAATAAAGAAAGATAGAAAGAGATAGAGAGAGAGAGAGAGAGAGGGAGAGAGAGAGAGTAAGAAATATCTTTTCTTCTAATCAAAAAACAAACATCCGATCAAAACTCAACCCTCCCCCACCCCCCTCTCGAATGATAAAAAAGTACTAAAGGGAAAGAAATTCGATAAAAAAAATCCGATAACACTAATGTATACAAATGATAGGACACACAAATATGTCTTCTTATTCGAAATAATCCACGACACCATATTTTATACATTATTATCATATTTCTTACTTTTCATATACGATCCTATTAGGAAAAAAAAATTAAAAAATAAAAAGCACCACCACCACCACCATCACCACCCACCCACAGGAAGACAATGTCTTTTGTAAAAAAAAAACAAAAAAAAAGGGAAAATAAGTTCTCTTGGGACACTTGGTTGGTAGAATCTCACTTTCGGTTAAACGTGTTTGCTGCTTGCATTCTCTTGCATGCATCGACCGAACCGATCGGCCAAGTCCATCCTTTGTTCTCTCTCTCTTTCTCTCTCTCTCTCTCTCTCTCTCTCTCTCTCTCTCTCTCTCTTCCTCGCACACTCGTTTCCTACCATTACTGTTTGTCTCTCTTTCTCCTTTTATATGTACAATACATATGCATAAATGCATTGACGTGTATACACATATATACATATACATATACATATACGTATCTAATAGTCAAATATATATACATTTAAACAATTTAATACATTGCAAATATATATTTCTATTTATTTCTATCTATTTATTTATTTATCCATCTATCTATCTTTATCTTTATCTTTATCTCAATTTCTATCTTTATATCATCGTTACTAGTCGTTGCATCAACTACACAGTATCTTCCTATATGAATCGTCATAGTCGCATTACCAAGTTGCATTAGTTTAGTTTAGTAGTGTCCTTGTGTCGTCATCATAATCGTTGTCGTCATCATAGTCGTCGTTTTGTGTCGTGTCGATGTGTCCGCGTTTTAAACATTTTCTTCGTCCCTTTGTTCAACCCCCCACCCCCTACCTCCCACTCGTCGATTCACCCGTTTACCACCCCCTTTCTTTGTTCTTCTTCTTCTTCTTTTTATTCTTTTTCTTTTTCTTATTATTATTCTTCACGTTGGACAGACGAGACCAATACACACGTTCAAATAAAAAAAAAATTTCAACACCCTGTGCACTTCACACCAATACTATTACTATATAATATTTACGTGCACGTTTTTTTTTAAATCTGTGTCTACATCTGTGTATGTTTTTTTACCTTATCTCAGTATTTATTTTGTCCAAACGAAGTGTAACGGTGTACAGTTAGAATCTCTAATATAAGAATTTAAATGGAATGATCGAAAATAGAATAAATACAAAAATAAAACACACACGTACACACAACATGGAGATTTTTTTTTAATTTATAAAAAAAGTAATATAATAATAATAATAATAATATAAAATCATATATAGAATCATATATAGAACACAATATATTAAATAGAATTAATCTTGTTCAATTATCTATATATATTATCTCGAATCAACAACATACTTTGCATCTTTTTCTTATCTAATTTCTACTAACACACACTATATAATCGTTAATATTAATATATTAGATTTAACTGTCGTTATTTGAATTTATTTTATTTCTGTTATTTTTTCTTTTTGTTTCCATGCGCATTTATCTAATGCTAAGGGTAGTTTTAAATTAACACGGGAATGAATTTAATCAATTAAAGAAAAAGAATAAAATACTCTTTGAAATAGGAGGGATTGATTAATAAGTAAAAATGAGAGGAACGAGAGTAGCAATCGATTAGGGTTCTGCAATTTTTAATTGAGCAATCCTCTATCTTTTCCTTTTCCACCAACCTCCCCCCACCACCACCACCACCACTTCCTCTTCCTCGCAAATTCCCTACATGCATTTATTTATTTTTTAATTTTTTTATTTTTTTTTCACTCTATTTTTTTTCTTTCTTTTTCTTTCATATTAATCATTCATTTACATTACATACACATTTACGTTAATAATAAATAATTATTAATCTATGAAAAGGATATTATAATTGTTGTTTATTGAAAGATTACTCCTATCTTTATTGGAAGTGTCATCCCAATAAAATAATATTATTATTTATGACCATAACCACATGACATAATGATAAAAATTCTAATGATCTATTACTACTACTACTACTACTACTATTGATCAATCACGTATATCATTTTTGTGTACGCTTGAAAATATATTTTATT